GGTTTGGGGAGCTGTTTGGGTTGGTGGGAGATCGAGCTTAGTGGAGTGCACTAAGCTCGTTGGCAACATAAATTTTGCGAAATACGTCGAAATATTGGAGGAAGGACTCTTGCCACTTTATTCCTCTGGTTTCGTGGACAAGAACACGACGTTTTTCCAAGAAGATGGAGCACCGTGTCACACTGCTAGAAACACCAAAAAGTGGCAGGAAGAAAATGGTATCCAGAAGTTGCTCTGACCGAGCCAATCTCCTGACATGAAAAACCTTTGGGCCATACTCGACCGGCAAGTCAAGAAACAACCAAAAAACCAACTTCGAAGAGCGATCTACTCCAAGTTTCGAAGCAAGAGTGGGTGGAAAATCCCACAATCTAAAATTGTCGAGATGATTCGCACGATGCCCCAAAGGATCAACGAACTCCACGAAGCGAAAGGAAGATCTACTAGATATTAATTAAATTATAAATATATCAATTCATGTGAATATGACTGAAAAGGTGGTGTCTATTTACTTGTGACCACGCTGTGTATGTGCCATTGATTTTCTTTTATTGTTTTCTAATATTATTATTACCAGTAGCATTAGTAATACTATTGTTTCATAATCAAATTCATGCGAAGGATTAATCTAAAACTACATTTCACAAATTCTTTATGAAACTTTATTTTTACTTTTAGTCTGGGGTTTGCATACACAATTTTCGAAATTTACTGTTTCAGTGTTTGGTAATTCTGCTGTTCTGTGCAAGAATATGTGGTAATGAGTACATCCTCTAATAATGATAATGTCAGTAAACTATATACTTGATAATACTACCAATTATTAAGTATATTAAATTTGTAATATATGATAAAGTAATAAAAAAGTTATAACATTCCTCACTATACAATTACCAGTACAACACATCCAGTATTTAGAATTTTTTACTTTTCCATACCAACACCTTGCAAAAATATTTTCATAAATGATTATGCATATACTTTACTAATATTCATATAATTGTTTCATTGTTCATATATTAACATTTTTTAAGTTTAATAATGCATTCTAAATGTTCTAATCAGAATTCAACATAACAGTTGTATTTCAACTACAGATTGTGACAGATAGATCATCAACAGTCCAAGAGCCATGTTTTTAAATCTAATGGTATGAGCCCCAGTAAATTTGCTTTTAAGTTGCATTTGTTACTCATATTTTTATTCTTATTATTATAGAAAAAATAATAATTTCTTCTAACATTAAGATCCTTCAGCGATCTTTGTAGTTCAGGCCTTGACCTTAACCTTTGAAGGCACTAACAAATTCTTGCTAGTTATTTTTTCTCCATATTATATTTGGGATTGCTACTACTAGCAAAAACATTCATCTTTTTAAAATTGACTGTAACTGGGCCATTGTTAATTATTTCATATAGTAAATGTTTATGAACATTTATGTATAAATCTTCTGTGTCAGATCTTTTTTTCAAATATTTTTGAGTATCAGAACTCATATGAATTACATAACCATGGTTTTAATATCAACTAGTTCACAAAAGTTAAAAGATGTTTGATTTGGATGGGAGCTGGCATACCTCACTCATGACACCTAGATCTCAACTCTACAGTACCCCACCGCTGACAGCCACCCTATACTATAAAAAGTATTATTAAAAGTTACAGTTTAAACAACGAAAGCAGATGCAGCATTAGAAGCCAATAGTCCTGATATTCATTAACTAAGTATGGTGCATGGCAGGAAAGTTTGGATCAGCTCATTACCAAAGGGCAGGGAAATATGTTCAGAAAATATGAAAAAATAATTTTTAGTCATATTTTTTACTTTAACATTTCAAGACACTGGCTTATTTTACTAGGTTAATGAAATTGCAGTTATATAGATAATTATTTGTTATATGCTTTATACTACTTGTTCAAAAATGTAACTGGCTCTGTGAAACCTGTAGCATTATGCTGCTACAGACCAAACTGGCTGCAATTTATACTAGCCCTGGGCCTTTGGGGCTGGATGAATATCAAACCTTGGGTACGTGGGAAAAACATCAAATAATTATATGATTTCTATTTTATTAGTCTTCAATACTTTTGCACAGTATTTCTAACTACTTTATTGGCAAAAGTAAATTGTAGAGGTTGGATGGTGTGAATCTAGCCAGCAGGTCCATGTTCTTTCCTTGGCAACTGATCAAACAGGTTGAAGTTACAGTCTTAGTATCCCCATTTCCTGATACTTAGCTTGGGTATGTCATGTAGGTCAAATGGTGAGGGGGTGTCTCAGAACTGGCAAGTGACATAGTCTATCTAATCACAATTATTGTAATCTTCTGTACTTAAAAACTCACAGTATAAATCACTAAAGTGCATGTACCATTGATACTCAGCCATAAGAAACTGTGAATCTTCCTTTTGAGATGTGTAATAACATATTTTTCAAGTGCCTTCTAATCTTTACTAGAAAAACTTCAATACTAGAAATCAGAAATTTGCTAGCATTAATTTAAAGTCCTACAGTTGATCTACCTTCTAATATAAACATGGCATCTGGGCTATAAATTCGGGTCACAGCTTTCTTGAGAGACAAAAGATTTAATCACCTTTTATAATTTGGATATTGTTACTTGTTAGTACTATCTTTATTATTTTTACTAAGATGAGTGTATTATATCAAACTATACTAGAATTACTATTTTCTTTCTGTAGGTGCTGCTCAAAGTACTTTACAAGACATCAAACTTCCAGAATTTGCTGGGTGTTATTCGTATCAAGAAGAGAGTAGAACAGAATCATCATGTAATAATAGATTTATCTATTGGTAAGAAATCCTAATCTATAAAATTATAATAGTCAGTTGAACTGGAGAACCATAAACTCCCATTCATGGCACAAATATATATATAGGCCTGAGTGGGGAACATTGCAGAACATAAGATTGACAAAGTGATGTATATTAATGATTTCAATTTTCAGTTAAATTTATACATGTGTGCATGTGGACTGAGACATTACTAAAAATTTATATTGTGTATATCTGAACTGATACACCACTTTCTGTGATGAATATATATAAAAGAAGTTGTTGTATCTGCTATTCGGAATATCGTTTCTGGTCCAAGCTTAATGTAGAAAACAGTGTGGTGATCACTGCAAGTGACCACAAAAACAAGTTGAACTATGTTGCCGTGTATGTCAATATCAAATATCAGCAAGATGATAGGATAGGCAGGACTCCCATTTAAAGGTGTCAACATGAATCGTAGCTCCTTTATTCTTCCTTCCTCAACACCACCACCAGATATATATATATATATATATGGTGTCAGTATTTACATCACAGTCCAACACCCCACCCCACTTTTTTGTAATTTGCTCTGCTGCTTATGAGTATAACTCATAGTTACTTAACCTAATAAAGTTTTTACTGTCTTATGAGCCTAAAAATAAAAAAACCTGTTGCCAGATAACAAATTACATAATGCCTAATATATATAGTAGCATAGAAAGATTAATAATTATCACCTAAATTATTAGCCTGTTATGTTATAAATCCACAGTCAGTTTTATTTTTTTAAATATAATGTATCAGGTAATTACAACCAATTATTCAAGTTTAAGAATATAAGTAAAATTATTGTTGTTTTTTAAATGTTTACTGATTAAATCCATTACTTAAATTATTTAGTTGTTGTTTTACTCCAAAGTTAGTTGATGGCTTTGGAATGCTAATATCAACATAGGTGACGATGATAATTGGATTAATCATAATAATCTTTCTGCTAGAGAAAGAAATATGATAAAAGAGAAGTAATTTGTCTGAATGGTTAACAAATTTTAATACTAAATTTCCTACTTTTTTTCTTTCACACTTTATTTGTTTGTAGGCGAGCTGCAAATGATATTTTGGAGCTTGTTGAAGTTTCGCTTGATGTTAACTTGATTGGAAACCACGTGCGATTACGATTTCAACATTCACCAATATTAAGAGATCTTTCAATCCATGAAACACAAGATCGGGTCTTTATTCTTATTGCAACAGTCTCTAGTGTTCATCGTTTGGTGTTTCCCCATCCACGCAAGTTAGGACGAATTGTAAGTTGCTATTATACCCTCAGCATTTTTTTTTTTAAGTAAAATGATACACTATTCATATGGGTTGAAAATATAAGTTTCTGTACTGAAATAGAATATTTTACAGGTATTACTAGCTCTACAAATGGGTGAATGTTTTCCTTAATTTTGGGCACAAAACAGTTTATAAGTTCTTATATGTATTTTTTTTAAGCTATTAATAACAAATGAAACTCAACCCCTCTTTCCACTTGTTAAAATCTAAAAAATTCCAATTTATTAGAAATTATTCCTGTGATTGATCATCATCAGACTGAAATGATCTGATATAAGTTTTTAGTTTTTGCAGTATTTGATGAGAATTAATTAACATGAAACTGCACTATTTCATCATTGAATAAATCTTTGTAAGTTTTCTTTCAGTCCTTTTTAAATTTCTTAAAACAACTGTTGATGGTAAACTTGAGCTGAAAAAATGCATTGATCACATTGGTTGCATTTCATAGACTGGAATACTTTAATTTTTTTTTTCATAAATGTTAATAACAATTTTTATCAAACACACTGAAAATTGGGCTATTTTTCAATCCTGATTATGGAATTAAATTACTTTTATTTACCAAGCAAGCACAAAATAGGTGTACTATCTTAAACAGTGCAAATTAACCCTATATTTTAGTGTGACAAAAAAAAAACATTCCAAGCTCTCAACATTGTTACACAGTCTGCTTCACTCAGAAGTTCTTATTGATAATATTTTTAGTCGAAAGCTGTGTTAGATATGATAGATATTTTTGTGGTTTTTCTTTCTAGGATGTTTTTACTACACAACACTCACAGTTTAAGCTACCATCGGTGTTTTTTGATGCCTCTGTGGCTGCAATGCGGGATACGACTAGTTATCATGTCTTAAATCATACTACTATTGGTGTTCCACTGCCTCACACGGCCTGCTTGTGGCTTACTCAGAACCACGATGCTGTTTTTGTACTGGCCAGTAGTATTGGCTCAGTTTTGGTTGTTTCAATGGCTTCTCCTGAAAATGGAGGTGAGTGTTTAATTAGGCTAAGAATTTATTTTCCAAATAATAAACAATGATTATTATCTATAACAACACAACAATCTTATTTTTAGAGTTCTTCAGATAATTGATTTATGACAGTTTGTAATTATATAGTGGTAATTTTTCATATAAGCTCATATTTGGAAATATTAACTGAATATTGATGCAAAAACTTCAACTGTTTATCTCTTGTGGTTTTTATTAAATAGAGCTGGCTTTAAGCTGATGCAGCATATGTTTCAGTATAGGGTCCCTGTGCTTCAAGGATTATATTCCCAACTTTTTTCATCTTATTTTTTATCTCTCCCTTCTGAAATGATTTCTCAATGTACCTTGGTTCACCATGGAATCCTACCTGTCTCTCAGATGGGCCAGATGACAAGATTCAATGTGTCTGACACTTATCTTCACATTCCTATTGCTCGAGCTTCATGTTGTTTTATAGGATTTGTCCATGAGGATCATGCTTATAAATTCTGAGCTCTTCCTTTCTGGCTGGCATCAGCAACCTCTGCTTCCTGATGGGTGGTCCAGTCATCTGCCAGATTCCTACATTTTCATGGGCATGATTCCAACTTTATTTGGACTTCTGGCTTCATCTTTCACAGAGTCCTCCACACTCACCTTCTCATCTGAGGAGCTGCTCAGGTGGGTTGGATTATCTATTGGAAAATCCCATTATCCACCCCATCCAGTATCTTATTCTTCTGGAGTGTTTTTTCAACTCGCATCTCAGTCGAGCCAAGCCTTCTCATTTTTATCTACAAGCCATGGAGTTTTTAATACAGAGGGCACTATCAGCACTTTCTCTCCTTGTGCAAGGAGTTCTCTCTTTTTGGGGTCTTTGGCATCACTGGTAGCTCTTATCCCTCTGGGCCAGTTGGTACTACAAGATTAATGGCACCTCATCATAGACCCTCTGGATTTACAGGTATCCTTTCCTGCTTCTCTTCCATCTGATGATTAGACAGGGAAAACATGACAGTGGGAGTACATATTCCTCCTCCCCATCTGAATATTCATGTCTTCATAGATGCCTCATTGTCAAGATGGGTTGCATGCTGCAATACCCAGGAGATCTCTAGCTGTTAGTCTCGGGAGGAGTTAGGTCTTCACATCAAACTTTTGGAACTCCTTGCTGTACATTGGGTGATGGTTCAACTTCTGTCATCACTGTAGGTCTTGACAGTTATAATTCATTCCTACAACTCGATGGCTACCTCTTACATCACCTGAAAAGGGGCACTCAATCCTGGTCCTTATGCTCTCACACTCTAGTGCTCTCCTTCTGGACTCACAGCCATCAAGTTTGTTTGCTGGCTTGTCACATATTGGGTGCCCTCAATCTTTTCACAGTTTGTCTGTCCTGTCAAGGTTCTACTCGAGGAGGGGCCTCTTGACCCCCAAGCATTCTAATGTATGTATTTGCCACTTTTTTGAATGCCAAACTTCCTCTCTTTCAGTCACCAGTCCCATACCCCTTTGGTATTAGCCATGGATGCATTAAACCATGATTGGAAGGACCTTTTTCTTTATACATACCCTCCCATGTTTCTTCTACCCTGATTAGTTTCTCTCACCCAATCCACTTTGTGTTGAGTCCTTCTTGTGGCTTGTTTCTGTCTGGTTCAACAGTGGTTTCTATCCTTTCTCCAGGAACTACCTCCATTACCTCTCTCTCCTGATCCCTCCTTCAGCAACCTCACTCAGAAGTGTTTCATCCCTACGTTCCCAAACTCTGGCTTCATGCATGGCTTTTGTCCAATATCTTGTGAGGGGTTCAGGACTATCTACAAGTGTAGCTTCCCTCTTGTCTCACTCTGTCTGTGTATCAATGTGAGTGGAGAATATATTGTTGTTCGTCTACCTGACATGGATTCTCACCTTCCCTTCCTCAGATATCTGACTTTTACATGGTTGTTTTTGCCGAGTGTTTTTCTCTTCAGTTATTTCCCTTTTATTTGGATCTGTGCATCTCCAGTGTCCATCTCATACCTTTCAATTGCAAGACTGAAATCTAAATGTCATTTTCCATGCATGATAGTCTCATGCTCCTTATATCACCTTTCGATGAAAATGTATTTCCTTCTCCTTTTTACTTGTGGATGTTGCCAGTCAGACTTGTTCATTATCAATCTTCACCGCATTTTCTACCACAAAACCATGTCCATTTATATCTTGACCATTCTTTCTTTCCCAAAACATCATCTGCTTGTGAAGGAATTTTCACCTTTACCCTTTGTTCTCTTCCTTCCATATCCCATATTGCTCTGATTCGGTCTGTTTCCTGTGTCTGGTCCATGCTTTAAGGTGTTATGTGTTGTGCACAGCACCCTTCCGTGGCACCCACTCCCTTTCTTCTGAATCTTGCCAATTGTTTTGTGTTTCGTCTCATCAGATCAATGCCCTTGGCTGCTCATTTCCATTGTCCTTTGGAGGAGATTATTCAGGTCAGCATGTGGACTACTCTCCATACTTTTGTGTTGTGCTATTTGCACCATCTGGTGGTTTTTCTGCTCAGCCTGATATTGTCTTTCCCCTGTAGCTTTTATTCTGCTCTCTGGCAAGTGGTGCCTGTCCAGGTATATTGTTATCCAAAATCTACACTGTGAGATCAATAAAATCTATCACACTTACTGTCGAGATGGGGTGTTCCACAAGACAGCTTGCAAGCTCTTCCTCATTGTGTATTGCGTCATAAATATGTTCGTACCAGACAGTACACTCATGCACTAACATGCAGAAGGAGATTGCTGCCCATCTTTAACATTCCTTAGATTGCTGGAATTGAGAACAATCTGCTTTTCAAAATAGTTTTCATGGTCACCCATTGCACTTTTTCTGGTGACGTGTTCCTCTGGACTCTCTGATACATTTCTTCCTCCCCTTCTTCCAGTGGAGTACAGGAGTCCTTACCACTTCACAGCTCCTAGCTGCTGGAGTTGTGGATCATGGAGAGATCCTCCTGAGTGTGCATAATTCCATTCAGTTGAGAGTGGGGCAGTGACATTCTGCCTGTGTAGAAGGTGTGGCAATCCTCCTGTCGTGGGTCTGATATTTTATTCCAGATGCTGCAGGTCTGAATTTTTCCATCTATTTTGCAGTTTGCTCCATCTGGGAACCCTCCCTCCTACTGCCGCCTGGATGTCGGTTCCTGGGCAACTGGTTTGAGCTGGACCAGCCAACTTAAGTCCTTACATGTGAGTGGGCTGGAAACTTCCTCTTATCGTGGATTGGATTTTACATCCCTAATGCCAATCAGTTTTGTACTAGAATTGACTCTGCACGTTGCATTTCAAACTTTCTGATGCCGTATGGATGTATATTCCCAGAGTTTCATGTTGCAGGTTGTACTGGATTTACACACATGGTGGTTTAGGTTCTCAGAACAGAGGCTCCTCTTCCTTTCTGGTTCTTAGACATGAGCTGAACAGTTTAGTTCCTGTAGGTGCAACTGATCTAGACGGGAGCTGACCTCCCTCTTATGGTCCCATACACCCTTGCACTCTACACACATTTTTCTTCCTTAGGGATTTGGAATTGTTACCTTGTTCTGTTCTTTGATTATGACACCACACTTGTTGGCTCCACATAGGCAGAAAGTATACCTGGTTCAGATGTAGTGCAGTTTCCCATGTGTATGTTTCCTCTCCATAGAGATGGCACACTCCATGGGTGCTCTTCAGATGCCTTTGAAGGGTGCTCATCATGAGTGGAGGTAAGTAATCGTATCAGAAGTTAATATTTTCCTGCACTGAAAATATATTTGTGATGCATACTTACCTTCCCACTCATCCTCCCCACTTCTGGTGTTGTTTTTCGTGCCTAATCTCGAAATGAAAATTGGGTTCAACTATATAGAGGATGTCAGCTGCAATAGGAGGGTTTGTGGCATGCTAATTTGCTTACTTAAACACAACTGAACTATATGGTATACACATGGAATTAAATGGGAGTTTCAAGGCTAGTGGTGAGCGACAATTTATGCACTAGAGGGCAGTCAAATTGAGAATAGCTTAACTGTAATAGGAGTTAAATATCAATTGGAAATATATTTTCATTGTAGGAAAACATTAACATTGGCTGGACATAAGTATAAACATTTCCTTTGGTCATAAAACAACAATGTAAACCAGGTTGCCAAGAATAGCTACTAGCTTTAGTCCTTTGTTAAAGGTGAAACACAGTCATTGCGGTATTTGACATATCAAACTAGTTAATTAGAAATCCACTGTAGTTTTACACTGGTAGGTTTAAATATCATATTTCAATCTACTAAAGATTCATCTTTGTTTTTCGTCATTTTAATTTAGGTAAAGTTAATTCATTTGAATTACGGCGAACATCTGTGATGTCTCGACTCTGGAGTGGTCTTGTTCCCTCTGTTATAAGGTGAGTGTAATGATTATTTGTAGGGCTTAATAGTAAGGTTAGTTATAGGGTGATTTTGATATTAGATATTTAAGTGACAAGATACTCAAACTCAGGACTTCTGGTTAACAAGGCTAATGCCTCAACCATTGAGATACCTAAGGTTAAAAGCAGTCTTGCATTTTGCCTTCTTGAAGCTACAAACTTCTGAAACTTTCTGCAGTCATGGAGGCAAATGTTGAATTACCAGACTTAATGTTCTTAAGCTAGACTATTCATTAAAAATACTTTAGACACTAGTGTGTATTTCTTGAGAAAGGATTATTTTTATGTTAAAATGTAAGCTACAAATTGCATTATTAATGCTGAAAATACAATGTAGTGGACTGAAGTGGGATTAAAAATGTTGAGTTGCTCCCTAAAGTTTATTGTAAATATCAATTTCCAATATAAAATATAGACTTAGTGTTATATTGTTTGTGTATGATTAACAAGTTATATTTTCTGTAAAAAAAAGATAAGACTTAAGTTTGTTTATGGTATTATAGAGGCAACCCGGAAGGATACGAAATGGCTTTAGCTTTAGTCTCTCACTTTATGGAAAAAGATTGGCTGGTGTTTGCTTTGTGCAAGGATCTTCATCTTCGTATTTGGTCTTACCAGGTATGTGTTTATTAATTTATTTTCAGTATATGTATATGTGTGTTTGTTTTTCCCTACATATTATTCGGAGACATTTTTTTAATCTACTTTCTTCTTCTTTTTTACTGTTTGAATTCAAAAAGGATTTAATGAATTGTGATGAAATTTTGCAAGTGGTCTGAGGATTGGCCTTAGATCAGGTCAAGGTTTTATTCTTCAGGGATAAACTGGAAAAAAATGTATCATTACCATACCTGTCTATATATATAGCATTTACACTTTAGGAAATTCTAAATTGAGTTTTCTTGTTCATTCTTGTTAGTGCTAGTTCAAATTTAAACAACTGATTTTTTTTTGGAATATGATCAAGTTATGTTTAGTTACATATATATGTTTCACAGTGAAAAATGTGTATCCTAAGTATTATTATGAGCAAGGGTCTTAATGTTAATTTACCAATCTTTTCAGTATAAAGTATGATTTAACTGTTTGAACTACTGTTATTTGAAGAAAAAGTTCACTTTAAAAATTTTTTGATAATAATAGTTTTTTTCTTAAATAAATATCATTAATTACTTAATGACTTAAGTTTTGGTCTGTCACTTCAGCTTATCCAAAAATAGGTTAAAGAGTTCAACTGAAGTTATTTAAAGCATCTTTTTTATTTTATGAAATTAAAAGCATACTGGATATTTGTTAAGGATATAATGGCTCCAGCTGTTAAGAGAATATTTCACAAATTGTAATTATAGTTAATTAAGGAAGGTTTATTTATTTTATTTAATTACAAGTGTATATGACATCATTTGTTAATAAAAAAAATACAAACACTTATGAGTTATGTGTATTTATCCACCTGTTTGTATTTTTGTGTGACTTTCTTTCATCTTTAATATATATTGATATTCAGCAACAAGAATGTTTAATGGCTGCTTCGGTTCTAGAACACTGTGGAGAATCTACTAGCAACATCTCTTACCACAGCTCAGGTGCTGTACTTTTAGAAATCATTCTTTTTAGCTATTTTTAACAAATTTACACTTGTGTGCTTGGAATTCAGTAATATCTAAAGATATTTTTCAGTGAATCATCGTTCTTGATAACTGGTTAATTGCAATAACGTTTTGGGGATATTTTATAGGTATTGAAACATTATAAGCTTGTATGAAGTTATAAATTCAGTTTACTTTAAACTTTATCATGAAACAAAGACCATATGATACTGATCTAGAGTAAAATTGCCATAAATTATTTTGTTTACATTGGAAGTGAAGATTCAGTTTTAGAATGATTCCATGAAAAATGGAATATATAGTTTTATAAGTTATTATTACTTTTTAACATTATTATACTTGGTGTTATTTTAATTATGAATCTTGTAAATCTAAGCTATTTCTAAATAAGCTTTTAGGTCAAAATTAACATAAGTTAAAGCAACATGGCATTACAAAGGAACTGCAGAATAACCACATTGATAGCCCATTGGGTTTTGTGTGTTTGCTAAGTTTTTACACTTTATATACCAAAAATCAAGTTCTGTGGAGTTAAAGATACAAATATTATAACAAGAGTATCTAATGTGTTGTATATGTGCTTTGTGAAGTTATTAAATTATCCCACAAAAGTTTTTCCTCTCATTTTCACTTTTTAGCTAAAAGATTAAAATTGGGAAATTAAAAGAAAATCTTTAAAATGTGTGTGTGTGTGTGTATGGTTGAATTAAATTGAATTGAAAAATCAAACACTATTCTGTCACAATAGTGACTTGCAATAAACTATTTCATGGTTTATTTTGCTTAGGTTCACAATCCAGTTTAAAAATGCTATAGCTTGAGATAGTATTTTCATGTGCATGTTGGCATGGTCAGGTGGTTAGGGCGCTCAACTCGCAATCTGCAGGCCACTGGTTCAAATCCCCGTCCCACTAAACATGCTCACCATTTTAGCTGTGGGGGCATTATAATGTGACTGTCAATCCTACTATTTGTTGGTAAAAGTGTAGCCCAAGAGTTGGCGGTGGGTGGTGATGACTAACTTCCTTCCCTCTAGTCTTACACTGCTAAATTAGGGATGGCTAGTGCAGATAGCCCTCGTGTAGCTTTGCGCGAAATTCAAAATAAACAAATTGTGTGCAAGTAGTGTGATATGTATGATGTACAGGTTTTCTAATCTTTTCATAAATGTATAGTGATAGCTCAAATTGAAATACATACATTCAGTGTATCATATTACAAAAACAAATGTAACAAACAAATACATACAAAAGGATCTGTCAGTTAGGTTCTTCATAAACCTACATGTTTTTCCATTATTCAGTGCTTACAAGTCTTCAATTTTGAGCAGAAAATACATGAAATATTTTCAAACATTTGAATAATCACTTTACTATGTCAGTGGTATATGAACCATTTGAATGCCAGATGTTAGTTATTTATATATTAGTTGTTCTATCTAAACCATATATAAGACAAAGAAATACTAGTGTACAGAAAAGGTTATGTTTGATATAACTTGCAGAGTAAAAAACTAACATATTTTAAAATTATCACTTGAATGTTCATATTACCTGTCAAATTGTTGTATTAGTAACAGAATATGTATATATTTGTTAATTAATTGGTAATAAAAACAAGGTTTGTTTGTTTTTTGGTTCTCCACACATTTTGAAACATAATATTGAATAATTTAAGAATGACACTTGAGTAAAAGATCTACTTACAATTAAGAGCAATACAACATTAAAATCTTACACAATAAATAAAAATAGTGTTTTAGGGTGGGTCCATGTTTTTAATAATCATTTATTGTGTAAGATTTTAATGTTGTATTGGTTTTAATTGTAAATAGAACATAATATTACTTTTTATTTGAAAGTCACTTAGTGTTTTTTTTTTTATTGAAGCTATGAAATCAGTCTTATCACAATTATGAAATAATTTTCAGTCTGTTTTGAGCTTTTAAATAATAATACTATCTCTTTCACATATTTGGTTGTGAATCCAAGTATTCAACTTTGTTAGAGAATTCAGTGATAGCCAAAAACATTCAATTTGATTTACCTTAGGTGTTTAACTTTATTTAGAGAATTCATTGACAGCTGAAAACATTCAAATTGATCTATTTCAGGTGTTCAACTTTGTTTAAAGAATCAGTGACAACTGAAAATATAAGTAAATTTGAGTTACTTGGAGTTGATCAAATTGTTTAACTATTGCAGTGACAACTGAAAATATATTATTTATTTACTTACAGGTGTTAAACCTTGTTTGAAAAAGGCTGTTGGAAGCTCAGGAACAAATATTTACTTAGGTGTGTTTCTGAACTTTCCTTCCCAAAGCCAGTTCTGTATATTTCAACCTGTTGTTTTATCCACTCAGTATCACTTAGCTCATGTGTCAACACTGTTTGCTCCAGAGGTAAGTTGTTCTTATTTCCAACTTATTAAGTTATGTCTATGAGCTTTGCACTTAAACTGCCTGTAAGAAGAAAAAAAGTTTTACTTGATATCCATTAGTGCTTTTGTGTTTCACTAAATTGCAAGTTAAATGGTTTGGCCGTATGTAAAAAGAAATTCTTCTAAGAAATGTACAATGTAAATATGATATGGAGTTTTAGTTGAACTAAAGAATTTATTTTTTGTTTTATGGAATATCTACAATTTTTTTAACATATTTTCCAAAATTTTCACAATATTTTGTTGTTGTTTTTCTGAAACATTCTGCATGAAGAGGTGACCTTTATTTTATAATAAATTTAATTTCTTAAATTTTATTTAATGAGAAATAACATGGAAAATGAAGCATTATTTATTGTGAGCAAGGAGTTTCAATTTAAATGTTTTCAGTGAGGAAATTACTGTGTGTTATCTTTCATTAGATTAGGCTTAGTTTGACTAAGACGATAAGGATTTGAAGTGTTAGAATTATCATAATATATTTGTCAACAGATAAAAATAATTGGTTGTTTATAAAATTTAACTTGAGGGAACCACCCAATGGCTTATAACACAGAAATTGTGTTTCAAAACCCGTGGTGAGCAGAACACATTATGTAACTATGCTCTTAACAACAATGAAAATCAAACCAAATCATATTGAATCAAGTATTCTCTGATATTGAGTAGATGAAATTACCAGAGAAGAAAAAATATTTTTGTCAAACATTTGAACATTTCTAAGAAAGTTGATATTTTTCAATTATTTATATAGATATATTTATTGTATTTAATTTTTTTTTTCTAGTGTGACTTGGTGGATTTTTGTGTATCTTCAACCCATCTTTGGACATTATGGCTAAATGCCACTAGTGATGCTGTTATTAGATTCACGGGGATTGACAGGTCTGGTGCATGAAGATAAAATAAGATGTTGTCCATACGAATATACTAAACACATTATAACTCTTTCACTGCCATGTGTATCTAAATATCAAACTGCCAGGTTTATTGTTTTAGATATACGATAAAAAACAAAAATACACATGATTTACTATTTACCTGAAACTTGAAGCTACTTAAGTATGAAGGGAGTAATTTCCCTTTTTCATGGTGGTGCAAAATTTGAAACTCACATGGTTGTACTTTACAAGGAGACAAATATGTAACCAAAGTAGTAAAATGGTTAATTAGATATTTATTAATAATGATAAATAACAATTGTTTACCATTTAAAATATGACTTTGTATTTACATAAAATATTAAACATAAGAAAATAAACTCAGTCTCATTGTTAACCTGACTTAGTATTTTGTATGTTTGTAGAACAGGAATGAGAATTGGCAGGTTTCAGTTATTTCTTTGTCAAATTGGCCATCTACCCAATTTGTTCTAACCTGGTGAGAAAAATGGTGGAGATAAAATACCACTACTAGTAGGCTCGATCCAAAATGCCTTCTGTTCTTTGATGTTAAGCTGAACCAAATTCAGTATGCGAAGCTTCTATTTACTGGCATATTAAAGGACAGTCAACCCATCAGAAAATGCCTTTTAAAGCTGAAAAGATCACAACACTTTAGAAATACACAAATTCCTTAAAGTGAAGTGGTGGAGAATTAAAAAGCATCTGCATAAATGTAGGCTAAATTTTTATACCATCAGTCTTAATGGTGATCATCTTTTGCCCATTTGTTTAGAATTATATAAAATTGACATTTTAATTTCAACTGACATTGCTTTTATGGAAAGTCATTTAAATGGAACATAAATTGTACAAAGACAGATATGATCTGATGAAAGTTGAGGGAGAAAGGGGACAGCTAAATGACAAAATTCTCAAAATGTCTTTTCATTATGTCAGGACTTTTTGTTCTAAGTAAAGACATTTTAAAACATAGTAAATGTTCCAGCCTCATATGTTATGCTATCATTTTGCACTGATCCAAAGACTTTGGTCATGTATTACAAAATAGAATGTATAGATCTGATAAAGTGTTACATTCATGTTTGACATGTATTGTTACATCAGAAAGCTTGCTGTTAAAAAAATAAAGAAATGTTGATTTTAGTTAAATTTTATGACACAAGTAAGACATCATTGTACATAAATGCAATTCAAAGGTTCTGTTTAGCAAATTTCATTAAAAAAAAGGCAAAATTACAACTAGCTTTTGTTTCTTAAATGATCTAATGCATTATCACCATTAAATTATCGAGTCCCTTTATTAGCCAAAATTTACTGAAAAAAAATTGTTGTTACAATGCATATAAATTCCAGAATGATCAACTTCCTTCAGAAATTTTTTAAAATGCCTAGTAGGTCACATGAAGATTCATACATTAATCATTTCCAATATTTGCCTTTTAAATGCCTGAAATTGTAACTGGTCAGTATTTTACTCTATTGGAAACTAATTGTACCAATATTGCCTCATTATTTTGTAAAATGACCAGTTTGTACATAATCAGTCTAATCATTGCAATTATAAACTTGTATATAGTATCTATTTAAATATTTCATGTGTTTATGATAAGTTGTCTGTAATTTAATCATTGGAATATGTGTTAAAGTGACAAAAACTCAATGTTTACTGGTCACCCTAGAAGTAAAAATTGTGAATATTTAGTGCCCCAAAATGGCCTAGAATGCACCGGAGAGCATGTTTAGTCCTCTAGCTTTTACAAGTTAGACTCAAGGCCAGTTAAAAGTTTCATTTGCTGTTTTTGTTCCTGGTGTAAACTTATGTTCCATAGTATAATAATGAGAAAAAATTAGACTTGGTGAGTTGGATTTAGTATTTTGTGCATATACATAAGATTGAGTTACATCATATTAAAATATTGGTTGTGATTTTCATTTTATATGCAGGTTTGCATATTACATAATTTTGAATTATAGGTGAGTAAAATATTTTAAATCTACCAGCATCTACTGGCATAAAAGAAATTTTGTTCAGTACCAAAACTCATCAGCTTGACTGGACTATGACAGTTAGAGATCCATTTCAAATGCTATTTATATATGTATATAGATAAAAGGTAGATCTTGAATGCTGTTGTTACACACTTCTGATTAGTTTATTGTAAAAATATTATTTTATACTTATGGATATCAGTTGTCTTTTTTTTATAATACAAATCTTTTTAAAATTTATTCTTTTAATTAGTTTTTTTGTATGATTACTTTTTGAAAGACAATGTTATACAGACCAGGAAATAATAAATAATGCATTGTACGTAAAAAAAATAGTTCTGAGGTGCAAATATCTTGCAAGTTATGGTAGTTTTAATGCATATTGGTTTAATGTTTTCGTTAGTCATGCTAGAAATGTTTCCTGATATTTTTACTGTATTTTTTAATCTACAAATGGAAGAGAAAAATATTTGTTATAAATGTTTTTCTTTTTTTTTTTTCCAGTGAAAATGACAGAAGTCAAACTCCTGGGTGGACAGCAGTGTTACTTCAACCTTCAGTGGGAAGTGATGTCCGTTTGAAGTTGGGATATTTGGATCCACGAGAAGCCTACTTAGCAGAGATCTTCCAGCAAGAAAGGTTCACTACATCCATAATAGCCAAAGCCATTAGTGTGAGTTTAGGAAGTATGGATAACTCAAAAGTTAACAGTTTCTGTAAATTAATTACTAATGTCTGATTAAACCCTAAATTATAGGTAACAGTATTTGTTTTTTTTGTATATCAGACTAGTTTTATTTAACTCTTACTGTAAAGTTTAAATTAACTTTTAGGTTACTTTGAATTAATTCGTTGAACAGTTATCAACCAAGTACCTCTTTCCTGTGCCGTCTTGTGATGTTTCTCGTTAATGAAGTTGAGAGACCCTCCATGAATCATCAACATCTCCAACCTAAATCTTAGCATCTGGCAACTGCATAATTTATTCTCTGTGTAAAGTTGTGTAGGATGTACTGTTTTCTTTATTTGAAGCAATTTTATTGCGCTGGTTTCCTTTCAAAGTTCATGTATTTTGAAAGTTTTCTCCAATATTTTCTTCAGCCTTTTGTATCTTTTCTAGAACTGTGACTTGCCGTGAACTACTTCCTATTCCATGACTTCCACCACCGACTTTATGGGGGGGGGGGTCTTGCACCCTCCTGGTGTGGAGGGTTCTCTTTTGGGTATTACTTATTGCATTATTCTAGGCGGCAGATTTTTATGGTCACCAACACACCTGGTGTGAAGTTAGGTTACAGTATAAAACTGCCTCTTAGTATTAGCTATTAATATATGCAGCCGCCCGAAGAGACATTCAGGTGCCATGTCCCCTACAACTCCAGTCTGGCCCATGTTTCAATATCCTTTAGTCAGTTTGTTTGACCGCAACATGGATGAAGTCTTTTAATGGTCTGTGTTTTTTTTTCATATTGTATCCTATCTTCCACCAGGCTCTTCCTCATTATTTATTTTTTGAGGATTACATCTAGAATACTTATTCAAAATCTGGATTTTTACTATTAAACTGGAAGTGGGTTGAATGCCTCTAGATGCACATTCTTCTCTTGTGATGAAAAGAGTGGCTATGCAGTTGACAGATGCTAGGTAGGAATCTGTTTTGTGTTTAAATATAGAAGAAGGTTTGTGGAAAGCTTCTCTTGCAAGTTATGAAAGATCTATTAATGAGTGGTGCCACAAGATGGAGTCAGGTGAGAAGTCCTAGTTACTGATGAGTTAGTTGTGCATTTATCTGGAAGTGAATGTTTATTGAAATTCTGTTTTTAACTTTAAAAAAGGTAAATGTTAAAATGAAACATAAGAATCTTGTAATAAAAAAATGTCATTATAATTTGAACCACAATATTAATATTTAGTGAATCACTAAAACCTGGATGTAGTAATTGTTTAGTGTGGATCACAAAAACCTGGATGTAGTAATTGTTTAGTGTGGATTACAAAAACCTGGATATCATAATTGTTGTTTAGTGTGGATCACAAAAACCTGGAAATAGTAATTGTTGTTTAGTGTGAATCACAAAAACCTGGATATCATAATTGTTGTTTAGTGTGGATCATAAAAACCTGGAAATAGTAATTGTTGTTTAGTGTGAATCACAAGAACCTGGATATAGTAATTGTTGTTTAGTGTGGATCAATCACAAAAACCTGGATATAGTAATTGTTCTTCAGTGTGAATCACAAAAACATGGATACAGTAATTGTTGTTTAGTGTAAGGACCTGTATTTAATGGTTATTGTTGATGCTATTAGGTATTTTTATTGTTCAGTGTCTTAACCTGGTCATCCTTAGTATCTTAGTTTATATTTTAAAGACTGACGTGTTTTGTTGTCTTTTGTGTGGTGTAGGAAGACCTGAACATCAAAGTTGTCTTTTAATTAGAACCGTACACTAGGTTAGACTGACCAAATTATGATATTTTTGTTTCAGATTTACAGAAAGACTTTAGACACTACTCATCTTGGGGATGCTGTTGTTTCTGTAGATAACTTGATGGAGGAAGTTACAAATGTTGTTGAGAATGAAGTGAGTAGGCATGAGTTACTAGTCAGTGCTGTGATTAAAAATTGCTTTTACTCCTTCAGTACAGATAAGTTTTTTATGTGTTTGAGTTTTGGTTGGGAAGACCATTGTTAAAATTTTATAACAGTTAGATCTTTGTCCTTTCTCAGTCAGTTGTGCCAGTAAATGATAATTTTTGTATTTCACTTTTTCATACATAACAACAGACCTGCCAACTCTTATGATTTAGGCATAATTGTTGCAATTCTTTTTTCATTTTACACCTGTATGAATTGTTATGTGATTCTGCAATTTTATGTGAAATTCTGGAATTTTTTCACCGACCCCTTTTTTTTTACTAATATTTTTCCAAAAATAATTCACCACTCTCCACTTTGCACCTCAGTCTTAAAAATGCTTGAAACAGTCTATTAAAATAGTAAGTATGTAGAGTGCACTGATAATTTTTTGAGAGGAAAATGGCAGAAAAATGTGGTTCTGCTTTGTTTCCAATGACTCCCACAAAGAATAGGAAAATTTAAAGGAAGCAGAAGTTTAGGCATGAATATTCACTAAAGTTCAATGATACAGTATCGTCCTCAAAGGGTATGAATTATACAAGATGTACAACTTGTATTTATGATTTCTCATCTCCATTGCTCGTGGAAATGAAAATGACATCAAAAACATCTCAACACCAGCAAAATTGTTCGAAGCATCTGGAATTAATAAACTGAATTAATTTTTCTTAAAACCTTATACCAAGTCAGAAAATGGTGTGATCAGAGGGGAATGTTTATTAGCTTCCTTCATTGTGGAACACAATCTTCCTTTGGTGGTTTTGGACCATGCTTCAAAAATTTTTACCAAAAATGTTTCTGGATTTGGAAATCACTCAAAGATACGGATGCTCTAGAACCAAAACCTCTGCAGTAGTTGTGAAACTGAATGAATTGTGAGTAACATTAAAACTAGAGCTTTCAACTTGTCTACTGATGGCAGTAAACTGTACCCTATTGTAGTGACATACTTCAATGACAACAAGGAAAAGATAGTAAATGTAGTACTTTCTAATGTCACTTAAATTGGAAAATCAACTAAAGAGAATATTACGGGACTCCTTCAAGAATAACTAGCCTCAAAGTCCTTAAAGTGGGAAAATTGTGTATCATTAGCTGTTGACAGCAGAAATGTGATGATAGGGAAAAAAAAGGAGTTGCAGGTTATCTTCTGAAACTTAACCGTGAAATAGTGCCATCTACTTCATTTGGCAGTAAAGAAGTTGCAGTGGCAGTTTGATGAAATTCTTTTTGACATTTATTATTATTTGGAGAAAACTGCAAATAGGAAACAAGAACTTAGAGAATTCCAGAATTTATATGCTGTAGAGACTCAAACTACTCTGAAGCATCTGTGCACATGCTGGCTGTCTCTTGGAAAATGCTTACAGAGGTCAGTTGAGCAGTGGAGACTCAAACTACTCTGAAGCATCTGTGTACACGCTGGCTGTCTCTTGGAAAATGCTTACAGAGGTCAGTTGAGCAGTGGAGACTCAAACTACTCTGAAGCATCTGTTATACACGCTGGCTGTCTCTTGGAAAATGCTTACAGAGGTCAGTTGAGCAGTGGAGACCTTTGAAGCAATACTTTGCAGCCAAACATGATGAAAAAAATAACAAAAAATCCATATGATGGCAAAGTCTGTTCCACGCAGATCAGAGGTATCAGTGGAGAAAGAGAGTGATTGTTTAGAAAAATGCAAAGAAAAACTTCCAAGCAGTGGCAGTCTGTCAGTGTGTTTCCTGGGGAGGGATCTGGACCTTCTATGAATGGTTCCTCTAAGAAAGTAGCAGACTAAATTGCAAAGGCAAGTGAGAAGGTACAGAACACTCCTGACACCAAATCACCAGGAAACACTTATTTGCAAGAGGAAAGACTTTACAAGTTAATTACATCAAGGAGATGTGCTGTACATGTATTATTTCTGAACAATTGTATTAAAAACTTTGACAAGTATATTTTGAAACTACAGTCAGAGGACCCACTCATCCATTGTTTGCAGAGAATCCTGTTTGCTTTATTCAAGGACTTGTGAAGCAGACTTGTGACACCACATGAATTGTTCAAATAATTTTGGATTTGAATTTCAAAGACAGAAAACTTTGGTTAAAAAAATGAGAAGTTGGTAATTGGTTATGAAGTTGAGCCTTTCCTTGCAAAGCTTGACAAAGGAAGCTCGAACTCTTTCTATGAAGATGTAAGAAATTACTATGAAGCTGCATTGGAATATATGAAGACCAAGTTCCCGCTTCAGGACACAACTTTGAAACATGCAGAAGTAGCAGACATATTTGTCAGAAAAAGTTGTTCTTTGGAATCAGTAGAATACTTTGTTGGAAAATTCAAGTTATTCATTGCAAGGGATGAACCTTGGGTCAGTACAATGAATTGTCCTCATCAGCAATTCCTCATTTACCAGACTGATCCATTGACTGGTGTAAATCTCAGTGAGCCAAGTAGTGTTGGTATAGTACTGGAAAAAGAAAGATGAACTGGGCATCTTTAAATATGATAAACTCTCAGAAGTAATGAAGTCTATCATTGTAATACCACACAGAAATGCAGGTTGTGAGAGGGTTTTCTCGTTTGTTCATAAAAACAGGACAGACTTTCGAGGATCAGTGTCAAACTCTGCCTTAGAATCAGTGATGATAAGGATGATGGAGATGGCACAAAAACCATGTCTCTCTCAAGAATTTACAGACGACTTCCTAAAGAAAGCCAAGAGTGCTGCTTACAGGGCTCTTAATCAGTAGAACTCTGTAATTAGTAAGTATTAAATAAAACATAATTAGTAGTGACACCATTTTTGTTTACATTTTTTGCTATTTATCCCTTGTCCCGATAGGGATTACTGTTATTTCAAAATTTAATTTTGGCAGGTTTTTAACAGAGAAGAGGGTAGAACTTGACCTGGTTTGATTAACATGAATGACTTAAGTACACGTAATTTTATACATTTTGTTTTTCCCTATTTTAGTCCCATATGAAAATTTTAGGAAAACAAGTTTTTAACCTTTTTTTTTTCCATTTGTATATGTTTAGGACACTAAGATTGAGAAGTTGCTTTCCTGTTTTGAATCTGTTTCTACTTTTGTTAATATATAGATCATATTTTGGAACCTATCCTTATAGATATGTCTTGTGTATAATGTTTTTAATTTTGTTAATATACAGACTTTGTTTTGGGACCTATCCTTGTAGATTCGTCTTCAGGCTGTTGAGTCAGAACTAAGTGACCAAGAGTACTTGGAATTACAACTGGATTGTTGGGAAAAGTTTTTTTCTTATTGCTTACAGTATCATGAGGTAAATTTTGATTGTATTATTGAACATAGAGATTTTAATAAGTTTTTGTTTTACTGCACACCATTATGTGATGTATTTTGGTTGTGTGTTTTACAAAATGTCATATCAGCTTATAATTTAAAAGTTATTTTCTAATGTGTTCCATATGCTGTGTACTGTCGGTCTTAAAACTAATTGATATAATAATGCTTAATGTTTTCTAATAATGTGTAATTAATGCCATATATTTATTTCTGTAACAATGTCGAAACTTTGATATTTTAAGTTACACA